GATGTATATTTAAAAAAAACCTCTACCCCCAGAATGTGTACCCCCAGGGCATGTACCTCCAAAGTCAGATTTTTTCTGAACTCTGCACCCCAAAAGGTACATGTGTACCAAGTTTCAGATTTCTAACCTTTGTTAGAATTAGCGTCAGTCAGTCAGTCACGATCGTCTATATATATTAGATGGTGTATACTTTACATATCGTGACGGATGAGGATGGCATCGAGAAGGTGCATTGAATGTCCCGGGTTTGGTGGTGGCATCGGATTCATCGGCAACCAGGAGACCCGGGTTCAAGTCCCGGCCTTTCCCAGTCTTTCTTTCCGCCTCTCATGCCTTCTGTCGTCCCGTCTCTCATCCCCCCCATAACAATATGTTCGCCATTTTCCACTTTTCGCTGCAACATAACGGGAAAGGGCAAAAACATTATATTTCCTGAATGTTATTATTTAGAAATTGGATTCTAGGAAAATTCTAAATCATATCATGGTCCTGGCACCCTCTAAGTCCCACTTTTGTGGCGGTGAAATAGGTTTTTTGTTGTAGATTTTTGCTCAAAGGAAACGGGGGAGGGCAATGAAGAATCTCTTCTTCCTTACTGTGTCTGACCTTAGGCTGACAACGTCTACGCACAAGCAAAAATAGTTCCAAACCACGATTAAGGACACCTACGACCCATTGAGTTTGACCTCATGGGTTGGTATCAGCATCGAACACAGGTGATTCGTTGCATTAGTAATTTTCTTTGACCGTGAAATGTCAAGAGCGGTTCATGATCAAAGCTGTTTATTAAGTACTAGCGAGTTTGTTTGGCCTTCGGGCAGACAAACTCGCTATGGTCGCGCCTTCGGCGTTCCATTACCTTAGATAGTGATTAATTCATTTATTCTTTACGAAATGGCAAACACGTATTTGAAGTACGTCCCCTTTGAAATACGTGACATATGGGGACGAAAGTATTGAATTTTATCAAAATCATTACTCCTATGATTTCTAGTGTGCCTAACATGAAATCTTTTCTTGTGTCCTTTTTTGTAAGGGTGGAGAATACATTTTGAAGTACTTCCTTCCTATAATCTACGCTAAGGGGACATATTTCAAAAGTAGGATTTTTCCTTTACTCCACCATCAAACAGGAACTTCTGAGGGAAGGTTAAATATTTTTGTCTTTGTTTCGTTGCATCAAAAGAAATTGAGGAAAATGGGACTGAAAAATAGTGCCCTGATGGGTTTTAAAGAAATTTTTTTTCTGAAATGTAGACTCAGGGAACTCCATGCCACCCATTTTCAGCCTTATACGTTTCCCCTTTTTGCTGGCGGAAAAATGCTTTTGAAAAACGACCCACCGATGCTAGTTAAATTGATGCAAAAAAATTAACTGAAAACATCTCCCTTTGAAAGTTGTGCCTCAAGGGCATTTACTCCCAAGGTCTGACATTTTTCTGCAGCATCTCAATAGGTAGTTATGTACCAAGTTTCATCTTTCCACGGTAGCTTAATACGCCAGAACAAAAATAAAATACTTTAAAACGTCGGCCCCCAAAAACATGCCCCCAGGGCATGGATCTAGAATTGTGCATTGTTCCTGAACTCATCGTGTCGGTAGGCACGTGCATGCTACGATTCAGCTTGCCATATCTCTCCGTTTTATTTAATCAACGGGACATGGAAGGCAAGAGAAGCCAAGAAAAAAACACTGGACCGGCCGGGAATTGAACATGGGTCTGCCGATTTTCGGTCAGATGTGATACCACTACACCACCGTAACTTGGACATTAAGTGATTTCTCTCGATGACATCCTCATCCGTCACGATATATATTTAAAAAAACTTCTCCCCCCAAAATGTGTACCCCAGGGCATGTACCTCCAAAGTTAGATCTTTTCTGAACTCTGCACCCTAAAATGTACATGTGTACCAAGTTTCAGATTTCTAACCTTTCTGGAACATTGTTAGAATTAGCGTCAGTCAGTCACGATCGTCTATGTATATTAGAAACAAGTGAGCAAGCGTTACATGTTAGACCAGGCTTGTTCCTATTGCTCAAACTCCTTATGACGTAGAGCCAACAGAACGAAATTTGATAGGACAATGGTGACGCCTTGGAATCAACAACAGTGAGAAGGTATCTACAGCAGGACTAAGATACCTGCAACATTTACTGAATTCATGAAGGGAAAAGTGCAATTTGCAGGGATCAACTTTGCCACAATCGAAGAGAATCCATCTGAAAATTGCACACCTACCGGAACATTGGTGCGAAGAAATGGTGGTCGACCAGCTTTGCCCTTTCTCGTTGGGAAGGCTTCCCAATGCTGGCCAAGTTTTTGGAAGACAGGTCGCGGTCCAATTAAGAGGATTTTGGCGGAGCCTCAGTTAGCAATGCCAGTCTGCTGCTTTTGCCATCATCTCGTTCTTCTCGAAACATTTTTTTAATGAGACTGGCAGAAGAACTCCTAAGTCTATATACTGGTCGGTGGTGGTGGTCGGTGACGTGCGCGCGCCCACACGACACGCGTGAGCGCAGCGGGATCGCATGTGCATAGCCGCAGTAATAAGTTCACACAGTGTTCCCAAACGCCACCTACATTCGGAAACGTAAGCCGCGGGTTGGGATGCAGAGGTGAGTTTGGACTGTCTTTTCTGAGTCCGAGTCTGATCCGATTCGAATCCGACTTGCATTCCACCCTAACCGAACCGAAGCGATCCGGTTGGAAGCAAACAAATCCGAATCCGAACCGAAGCCGATTCAGCTTTTTTCGCATGTGTCCGACCGAGACCGATCCAATCCGCGGTTATCCGGAAAAATTCTGAATTTTCTACTGAAACTTGTATGTTCGCAGAGCGATTGAACATTATGGAATGTTCAGATTCGTGCGACGGCTGTTCACAAGCCAATTTACTGCACGTAATTGCTATTTTGCATTGAGATGGTGCACCCCGGAGGGAGTTCAAAGACCACTAGGCACGGAGAAATCCAACGCAATACTGCAGTGCGCAATCAGAATTCATTATTATTTTTTTTTTAAGAGAGGAGGGGAGAACTGACTCGAGCAGGAAGTCTGTCTTCCGGTGGCAGAACTGTTACCGTCTTTCTCTATTCACATAAAAATCTATTGTCTGGACGAGGAATTTACATTATTGGATCCCAGAGCTAGCCGTATTCTTATCTCAGTGCATAATTAAAGCAAGCAATCTTTCTTACCTCTTTCGGCTCATCACAAAATTTCAATGCAAATTCATCGGATTTTCACTGATTTTTTTCCATCTAGCAAATCCGACGGAATCCTATCCGTAGGAACAGTTTCACAACCGAGACCGATCCGATCCGACTCGAATTCTACGGTTCCTAATCGAAACCGACCGAAATCCTGCACAGACAGAGCAAACATAAGTGAAATGCAGAGTGATCCGTTGGCATTACTCATTTGTTAATACCTAACAATCTTTTAGCTCTTCATGCACATTTGGTTCGCCAGAGACGCTCAAATTAGCATCAACCAGTGTAGGCGGCTCCGACGTGAATTGACATTGATGACTCACGAACGGACCACCAGCGTGTCCGAGGTTACAATGACTCCGTTGACTCCTTAAATATACAATTACTTTATTGTGACAACCAGCTTGGAAAGAGATCAATAATAATGAGAACCAGGAAATGGATATGGGGCAAAGATTCAAAATTCTGTTCCCCTAAACGCTTATTAGGCCATAGATACTCAATGAGCAATACCTGAATATAAACCCGTGTGGTTGGTGGGGTAACAGATAGCATACAATCTCCAGCACTGACGTCAAGGGTCCACTCAATATCCCGCGTCTCCTCTCAGGTTTCTCCTCACTATTCTACAATTCGACTCCCTTGCCCGACTCACTCACTTGAAATCCCCGACTCGACCCGACCCGACTCGACTCGACTCTCCCGCGCGGCCCTTTTATTCCGTTATGCCGGACATGCGCATTATCTTTTACTGCTATTACATCATCTTCATAAAAGTACCTCCTACACCAACATTTAAACATTTGAAAGGCAATAATGAAGAAATTGCAATGACTGGATGAGTGGTTACTTTTTGAGGCCACCCTGTATACCACGTATATGGTTAAAATTTGGTTAATGACGGTTTCACCCTGCACAAACACACGCACTAACTCACATTGCAATATGTATGGATACCAAAGATACACAGGAAATTCAGAAGCAACGATTCTTCGATTTTCGTCCAAAAAAATTCGAGGTATAATTTGCACTAGAAAAAATGCTACAGTATTAACCCTTTGAAGTCCTATTATTTTTAAGTTTCGCAGGCCAAGAAGTCCAATTTTTTACACAGCTTTTTGTTATTGAAATAGGTTCGATTGAAGTCTTATTGTTTCTAATGGAAAAGAATGCTATGCTATCGACACTTTAAGCTAAGCACGAAAGAGACAAAAACATCCAAACTTGTTTCTTTCTTCATAATAGTTTTTTCATCCTGAAGATGAGATAGGACAAAATTGCAATTTCATAAGTTTCATTCCGGGGATGAGATTGGACTGCAAAGGGTTAAGCGGTTGAACTGTTACAGCATCCAAACCATATGTCTAAATAATGGTCATAATAATCGTAATCCACAAACCATCGGGAAGAATCAGGTAATACGTTTATATCAAATGTCATGATGCTTAGCGTATGAAGCTACCAGCAATCACGATATATGTGTTCTCCCTCACAATTTTCAGTATATGTTCTTACTTTTCAGAAATATGATTGAAGAGTGAAAACAATCCAAAGAAATACTGCCTAATGGACATCTTTGCATGGGTATATTAAAATAATAGTTAATGGTCCTCTATTAGGCGAGATTTGCACAACCGATCCGACATTAACATCTAAAAAGCATTATCCGGAGTGAATCTTATTGAGAATATGCATAATATAGCTGTTCTAAGCACGATATTATAGGCATTATAACGTGACGGATTTGAAAGTACCACTTACTCTCATCTTCGCCACTAAATAGCCGTCAATTTCCGAGACGTCAAAGGAGTTGTCGCTGGCTCAAAAGATGAAGAAGAAGTGGAAGTTATCTGGCAGGATCATTCAGGTCCCTCGGAAGAAAGTGATGGAAGATAAAAAACGTCGATTGGCCAAGTTTGAAATAGGCAACAGGACGCTGGGTAGTGGACCGACGAAAGTACTTCTACTCGTTGGAGCCACGGGTGCAGGTAATTTCAAATCACTCTCCTTCTTACCGATTCGAATGACGAGGTTAGGCGCATCTTCTATAAGTTTTCCAATTGTTACCTGTATTTATTCATTTTGCCCAATATGGAGATAATTCAAGTTTCAGTTCTACTTATGCATAGCATCTGTTACTTTTCAAAATGTTCACATCTTTCAAGATATGTTATTTGCTTGCATTTACTAATATTGAAACTTTGAATAATGGAACGCTGAAATAATTTGCATGATTAAAACGGTTCTTTAATGAAATATATCGCACGCTAAGTATGGAAAATTAGCAGACAGAGAATAATTAGAATGTATCGAATATTGGTATCCCACGGAGTTCAAAATAGGGGAACTTACGAACCGTTTGTCTGATTCGTCAGAAAATTCACATAGTGTGGTTCGATGATTCTCAGCCAATTGACCTTGCATGAGGAAGACCTAAGCGGCGCAATCTATCAAAATAAGACTCGGATCATAAACTGCAATGATGCAATATCCATTGGTTGTACAACTTTCGTAATGTGAGTCACGAGTGGCACAAGTCAGAAAGTGATCGCTTTCTTTCTCTACATTGACTTATTGTGTTATTGTGAACGTGAATAAAATAATGCAAGAAAGTGCTGCTGAATGGCAGAAACGAAGGAGAGAAAAGCTGAAGCAAGAAGGGAAGCATGACGAAAGTATGATGAAGTGGAGCTACAAGGTTGACCAAGAAAATATAAGCCATTTGAAACCTTGAACTAAAACCCATATTTTAAAACGAATTGACTTCGAAATTTCATTAAACGCTTCCTAGGATGTTCTTCAGTATGCGTTAAAATGTCATCTGCCTCCAATTTCCCATTCTTGAGTTATGGCAGATTCTGTTGAAATGAATGACATGCTGCGTGAAAAGGATTGCTACTGACATTGCGAGGCATCTGAATTTTACTTTAGAATATATGTTCCTGAGAGAACATTGTAAAAACCTTGCGGAATTTCGCGGAAAGTGTGCTTTTCATCTTCGGAAATGTCTTGCTTGTGCATAAAATTATTGAATTCTAATGAAAGTGTGCCTTGCAGCGGCAATGGCATGCACCTTCATTCCAAATAATCACTGTTTAACGAATGCAATAATTGCCATAATTAAAGAATAGGATGTCACAGACACGTGGCATTTTAGAATACCCTTGAAAAACATATTAGGTAAGGTTCCATTAAATTTTGAAATGAATCTGTTCACATGTATGGATCTTCTTGCAAATTTCCCAGTCTCTCACTTTTTTTGGTCAACACTATACATACTACTACCTCCATCCTACTTTTCTTGCGTCTGGGGCGAAGTTATAACTGCTTTGTTGACTGGTGCTGTTCTCATCAATTCATCATTCATAAATTCTTCCCTTCTTCCTTCAGCTTTACTTCCATCGTTTCGGCCTCACAGCTGCATTATGTTGCCTTCTTTATTCAATAATACACCAAAGCAATCTAGAGAAAGAAAATGAACACTGTGTGACTCACTTTACGAAAGTTGTACAGTCAAAGGATATTGCACCGATGCAATTTATGGTCCGAGTCCTTTTGTGATAGCTTGGAATCCTTATATAGCTAAGAGGATCCAACAGCTTTTGCCCATGGAAACAGCAACATGGAAATGACAATGTGCAAATTTGTATGACTCATTTTACAAGTGAAAACCCATTAATCTTTAAAACGTCGCAGAAGACTCGTTTGCATTGGTACTTGAAGATGACACCACTTTTTGACAGGACGCATCATATGTCACACCACCAGATTTTCAGCTCTGACCAATTAACATCATCAAAAAGGCATGAGGAACAGAATACATTCTTTAAAGAGTTAAGCTATGGCCGTATTGAGTCACTTAGATTCAAAATGGCGATGCTGCATGACATTGCAGCAAGGATGATCAAAAGCACAACTTATACGAGTATGCATTCGAATGCATTCTTTGTGACATCAACTGTTGGATTGCCCATTCGTTTTTAAATGCTTTCAATACATTTGTCCCTTTTTCACGTGGAATGTCGCATTACATTTTCAGAATCAAATTCAAAGAGTCTGATGCTCATAATTAAATTGACGCTTGTTCATTTCATTATCAATATTATGATGATGTATTACATAAATATAAGTGAGAAAAGCTGGCAATTCTAGTCTCTTGAGCACTCTGTAACATGAGTCAAGTTCTCTGTAATGTGAGTCACGAAGATAATTCTTGTAAAAAAACTTCAGTATAGATATCAGAGTTAATATGATATGATTAACAGTATATGATTTATCTCTTACCTAAAAGGCAGCAAGTACTGTCTAAATCTAATGAAAAATGAAGCAGGATTATTTCACCGAAAACCTACACTTTCAGAGCGTGATCTTCCCTTATAACAGGAATTACGAAAACACTCTCCCATTTTCTCGCAGTCAGGACTTAAATAAATTCATAGTATTATATCCAACAAAAGCTCAATGCCTGCAATCGCTATGCCTCTATGGACGATCTGAAATTGAAAATACAGACGTCAGGGTGGAATTACTTTCTGAAAATATTGTGCATATGTTGCACTAGTCAGGATGGAACGACCTATTTGTTCATATGGAACATTTCTACTTTATTTAAAGATGCGTTCAATAATTGCTATTGCAAAAGCGGAGTCTGAATCCCGAGAAACAATACTACGCCTTGGAACGCTATGCAATTGCGCAATAATATTCTCATCCTTCTCTAGGAAAGAGAACGCTCATCGACGGAATCATGAATTACGTGTACGGAGTGAAATGGGAGGACGATTTCCGTTTCAAACTGATAAAAGATGAAGCCGGTGATGAGGAAATATCCCAATCCCATAGTCAGACCAAATGGATCACCGCATATGTCCTTCACAAGGAAAAAGGATTCTCTCTTAACTATACTTTGACAATCATCGATACTCCAGGGTTTGGAGATACTGCAGGAATAGAAGAGGATCACGAATTGATGAATCAGATCAGAATATTCTTCTCAAGTAAAGGGAATATCGGTATAGATCAACTTGACGGAATCTGCTTTGTCGTTCAATCCGCCTTGGTACGACTGACATCCATACAAAAGTACATCTTCGATTCCATATTGTCCGTATTTGGAAACGACGTCAAAAACAGTTTCTACGTCCTCGCCACATTCTCGGACAATAAAACTCCACCTGTCCTGCAGGCCATCAAGACTGCAAAAATTCCCTACAAGGAGTACTTCAGGTTTAACAATGTCGCTCTCTTTATAGACACTGAAGAAGAAGATTGCGAACTTTGGAAGACGTACTGGGAAATGGGTGTCTCAAGTTACAAAAAATTCTTTAGAGCTTTAGAAAAAAGTACACCTGTGAGCTTAACATTAACGGGGAAAGTGCTAAAAGAAAGAAAACGCTTAGAGACAGCCCTTCAAGGAATCCAACCACAAATCACTGCAGGTGGGATTGCATGTTTCAATTATTCATTTCTGAAGCAGTCATTAATGTAACTAATGCATAGGTACCCGTTCGATGTATGCCTTTATTTCTTTGTAGGTTTGGGAAGACTTGAAAATATGAGGCAAGAACATGCAGCCTTGAGAGAGCATGAGGCAGATCTTGAAGCCAATAAGAACTTTTCATACAAAGTCAAGTTTCAGAAACAGTTGAAGGTAAACCTGACTGTTGGCGAATATGTTACAAATTGCCTGAAATGTAATTCTACCTGCCACTATCCTTGCACTGTGCCAAATGAAGACCGTAAAGGCGACTGTGACGTAGTGGATTTTCAGACCGGTAAGTGCATGGTCTGTCCCCTGAATTGCCACTGGAAGGAACACTTCAATAATACGTACCGCTTCGATATTACGGAGGAAGAGGTGACAAAAACCTCAGATGACTTGAAAGAAAAGTATACGCGAGCAACAGGGAAAAGGCAAAGTGCCCAGGGGATTGTGAAGCAGCTCATAAACGAATTCAACCAAGAAAGAGCGAAAGTTCTAGAATTAACCACCAAAGCACACCGTTGTTTGCAGAGACTCGACGAAATAGCCTTGAAACCGAATCCATTGGGAGTTACTGAATACATAGACTTATTGATAGAGGCTGAGAGTCGAAATGCCTCTCCTGGCTTCTCCCAGAGGATTAAATACCTGCAAGATACCCGAGGCAAGGCGGATTTAGCCGCGAAACTTAAGGGTGAATTCGACCCTTTCCACGAATACATGAGGGAATTTGAGAAAGAGGGTTTCAACATATCCATATTTGACCCTGATGCCGATGTCAACGACGTTCCTGAGCCGCTAGCCACATCCCCAGAACATGGACGTCCAAAGGAACAGATGGAGAGGGAGACTGTGGAGTTGAAGAACCAGATTTGAGAAGACGTTCGTTCTGGGGAGTCTTGCCTGAATGAGTCGTCACAGAGAGAATATAGCCATGGACTGGCTACAGATGTTTTGCACCCCTAATAAATGATGATTCCAATGATATTCCACAATGGAAGTTGCTTCCCATTCGCCGCAATAACGACGTGTTATTATTAAGAGAGGATTGATTTCAGCGTATAAATGTTACAATAACAGGGCTGTATATGGTGGTAAACAAGCTGTGGCAATGTCGAAATGAGCCAAAATTGCAAAATTGAAAACGCGCTCATATGTCACGTGTTGCATTGTCAATGTATGGGCCTCATCTCCTCATTTCCTGAGATTGATAGATTATAGTTTGAAAGTATTCAAGTGATCACTATCATCATGTATTTGATTTCCTCTTACTATTTCTACATTTATTCCGTGAGTAAGGAATATGCACAATTCAAAATCTGATTGCTGACAACAGAATTTCCACTCTTTACAAATCGTCACTCAGAGGGCATACTTGCATTGACTTCTTATTTTTCTAAGCTGATTTTGAAGTGACTCCATGAGGTCCATGCCCATCTGGCTTGCCTTTTCCTCGGATAATTTTACCATGGGTGGTATATATTTGAAGAAATTGAGGCTCTTGCCCCTCGCCCATTATTCTAAGTATCTGTCCATGCAAATTGCCCGAATTTTCTATATGAGTCGAACCTGAGGGCTGTTGGGGGCATTATTTTATTGATAGTATTTAATTCACCAGAGAATAATATTGATCCTGTCACGAAGAAGCAATGATTCATCCATCACCAGATTTTATTATTGCGTCACTCAATGAATTTACATCACCAAATGTTTATTACCATCACCAAATGATTTCATCACCAGACTTCATGAATTCTACACCCAATTCTCCCTTAGTATTTTCATCAGATGCCATGAAATGATCAGGAAATTTTTTATTGAGTTAGCACCAATCCATTGTCACATTTGATGCGTCAAAGGAAATAAATATTTCATATAGCGGTCCTGAAGGGTAGAACGCACTGACTATCCCTGCTGTGAAATAGCATTCGGAGTGAATGTTTGCCAATCTTGACCCAAATAGGGCATGTGCATTCAACATTTGAAGCTCTCACAACTCAGAGGAAGAGTCTTGCTTTTTTTAAAGTTCTCCTAATGTTCCAGTTTTCTTATTAGATGCTATTGAGCACTTTTCCGAACCACTTCCCTTTTTTGCGTTGCCGTCATTACAGACAATGAAGGCGTCTCCTTGTTTCAATTATCTCAAGCTCTCTAGTAGCCATTGCACCGCTAATACATAGACCATACAGAAACTGGATGTCAGCGCCGTTCACAACTCCAATACATATACACAAGCGCAAGGAGACTATTTACACAGGTTCTCCCTGAAGGTCTCCTATTGCATGATATGATCTTACTATCGCATATTGCCATCACAGATCTAACCGGAAATAAAGAAAAGTCCTTTCCTTGATAGGATACACATGTTGAAAATGTAAATAAATTTGAAATGTAAATAAAATTGTTCTGATCATCAAATAAATTTGATGCTCAGAACAATTCTTTGGTGCGGGATGAAGTAAATTCGGTGATACCAGCACCTGTGATGAATCACATTTGATGAATCAAAAATAAGAATTTGGTGACTGACTCCAATTTGGTGAAGATTCATTGTAATCTGGTGACGAAGTCAACATTTTTGCAGCTTGAAAATATTTGGTGACATGTTTATTATTATTTGGTGGATGATTAAATCTATTTCCTACTGTATTTAGCCACAAATTTGATACTCTGGGACCCTAGCCAAACCTGGACCACTTTCTCATTATGACAAGAAGCCACGTCCCTCCAGAAAATGACCTGCCCATTTTTTTGGTATTTTCTAATGAATGGAAGGTGTATTTTCATCAGGAAATTAGTCTAGATATACTTCGGCAGTCATTGTCCAATTTGAAACGAAGGGAACTGAAATATGACCAGATTCATGACAGCCAGATCAAATTTTGATCAGAAAGTTTGCCTCGGATTTGAACTTGAATTCATTGGCCACGTCGCTTTTGCTGGCAGTACTTCTTCCTGAGATACTCATGGAATCCAGTGAGACGTAATTCTCGCCATCCATCAGAATGATCTTCGAAGAATCGGACTTGATGAATTCTGCGGTAGAGTCAAAGACATCCAGCTTTTTCTCACTCCTTCCGACTTTAGGTGACTTCTTCACTTAGATCACTTCTTCTTCTATCGTATGGCATGGATGACTTGCAAGATCTTTAAAGGTCAATGTCAAAGTTGGTGAGCCAGTTAATGACTTCTGGAAGAACATTATGTATGTCTGTGACATTTCCTGGGTATTTTCTTAGGGTGCATTGATTGATGATGTACTGCATGGTCTGTTCGTGACCACAGTCGCAAGACGGGTCGTCCCTCATTTTCCAGCGGTGGAGGAGCTGGGCACAACGACCTTGGCCTATCCGGATGCGATTCAAAATTGACCATTCCCGGCGGCTGAGGTCGAACCCGGGAGGCTGCACTGTTTGGTCGGAGACCAGCGACTTATTAGGGATATGGCATTTTCCCAGAGTGTTCTCCGGCGTTCCTCCACATTGAAGGAGGGCGGGTCCAGAGCTCTGGCCCTCTCCCAGAAAAGAGAGCGGGATTTTAGTTATTTTTTCGGTTAATCGTCTATGATGCAATGGATGGGTACATTCGTGTTGGTGGACATGGATTCGAAGGCACGTGACGTATGCGCTTCCCTTCATATGGTTGGAGGTGCGATGTTGGCGAGTGCAGGTATCCATGTAGTTGGAGTAGGCTTCAGGGTGGCTGTGATTATGGGCATCGCATCCTTGAGTTGCAAGGCGAACTTCTTTGTGTGGCAGCTGTCGGCTCAGACTGGTGAGCAATATTCTGCCGTTGAATAGACTAGCAAGAGTGCTGCTGTCCGCAACGTCTTGGCACTTGCTCCCCATGTTATTCCGGAGAGTTTGCGGACAAAATTCACCCTGGTCTTCACCTTTTGACCAGCCTTTTCAAGGTGCGCCCTGAATATAATGAGTGGTCAAGCGTGACACCGAAATACGAAGGCGTATCCTTGTGCTTCACGCGGTGGCCACAGAAGTCAACGTTGAGCCTTGCCTTGGCCAATTTGTTGTCCAGGTGGAAGGCTGTCACCATGGTTTTGGCCGGGTTTGGGCGCAGTTTCCAGGTGTTGAATTACTACGCCAGGATGTCGAGGTCAGCGGTTAGTGTAACGCTGATGTTCGTCAGGTTGGTGTGCTGGGCCGCCAAAGCAATATCGTCGGCGTAGGTGAACTTCGTCGATGACGCTTGCAGCAGGTCGCTCAGGTACAAATTAAACAGTGACATTAAACAGAGCCTTGGGGGTAGTCCGTTGTTGAGGACCCGATATTTACTGACCTGTCCGTGGAGATGGACGCAGTAACGGCGGTCTTTCGTGAAAGCACCGACGAGCCTCAAGGTCTTCTGGCATTTGATGACTCTGGATGCCTTGCAGAGGAGTCTGTCACGCCAGACCGTATCATAGGCGATGACAGATCGAAAAGTGCTACCCCGGTCTTCTGCTTGTTTTCGAAGCCGGATTCAAATAGGCTGGATAGGGAAAGCATGTGCCCGCAGCAATTACGCCCGGGGCGAAAACCGGCCTGCTCTTCAGGAAGAGCAGCTTTGATGGTGGGAGAGTGGCAGGTCAAAAGTGCTTTCTCCATAAGCTTGCTCGCTGAGCAAAGCAGCGAAATCGACTGGTGTTTCCTGTGGCGGCTTTCCTGGCTTGAGGAGGACAATGACTTTTGCCTCGACGCCAGATTGGCGGTAGCTGTACTGTTGCTTGTATGGTGGTGAAAAGGGAGGCTAGCCATTGCCGTCCTTTCGGTCCCAAGTTGTTAAGAATTCGGGGATAATTCCATCTATACTCTCCTGTTTTTAGTGACCGCAAAGGCCAGATCGATCTCCTCCATTGAGTATGGAGATGAAAAAGCAGTGTCGGTTGGGGACTGCAGAAAGTTGCGGAAGTATTCTTTTTGCACCTGTCTACGAAATGTTTTATCGGTCGGCAACTTGGAGTTTAGGAGAAGACGGGCTGCAACAGTGTTTGCCGACATGCTTGTCGGCTTTGTCTTCGCCACGTCTGCTGCAGCCAGGTATCGCAGGAGCAACCATGTCTTCCTGCTAGAGGGCGTGAAGTCGAGGTCTACGACCGTCTCCTACCATCTTTGTCTCTTTGAATTAAGTAACTCTTTGATCGCTGAAGCCTTGTCTGGTCTTCCACTCTGCCGGTATTCTTGGAGGAGAGCTTCTGTCTCTTACGACCAGCAGGGGTTGAATGCCTTTCGGAATCCGCGGGGGGATGTTTTTTCTGTGCTGCGGTTGTCAATATACGCGCGAAGACTGCAAAATTCTTCGCCGTGGGTTCGAATCGCTGTATCCGATTTTCGACTTCCGCTTGGTAAGCAGTCCAGTCCGCCTTGCGGAAATCCCTGTGGGGAGCTGCAGTGGACTCGATCAGGGGTACTTCGAGGCCTATGTGGAGTATCACCGGGTGGTGCTGACTCCGAGGGAAGTAGCCGCCAACTGTCCTTGATGCAAGTAGTGGTGTTCCTCTGTGGTCTTTCGAGACAAAGCAGAGGTCCGGATTCCGGTATGTTCCCCAACAGTCTGATTTAAAAGACCCCGGTGGTTTTGGCTCAAAGCACATGTGGACATCCGCTATGAAAGCCGAAATGGTGAATTGTTCCCGGCTTCCTCGTTTTTCGTGTAGCCCCAAGCAGTGCGATGGATATTGAAGTCGCCAGCATACACTGCTGGGTGAGGGTAAGTTGGCAGCGCTGGTCTAGGCGATTCGGTGTTGGGTGGCTTGAAGATGTTCGTCACGGTGATTTCCCCGACTTTCACTGTGGCGTATGATGCGACATCCGACGAGCGTTCCTGACCGTTCCCGATCACTGCGCTCTCCACGATGACTGCAACATTCTGAAGGCCAGACCTGATGTAAGTGGCCAGGCCATGTTTTGCACCGTTAACGTTGGCGACCATGTTGTAGCCTGCAACTTTATATTTGCCAGCTCTTTCGTTGTCTGCTGCGTCAGTTTCTTGAAGAATCGCGAGGTCAATGCAGTTTTCTTTCAGGGTTTTAGCGAGAACATTGCACTTTGCGCGGGACAAACCCGCGCAAAGGGTCATTGTTGAGATCACTCGTTGGTGCCCTTTGATAAACAACTTGTCCCACTATGTCTATCCCAGAATACTTTTTTTCAGCTTCGTATTCAT